TGGTCATTTAATTACAAGATGAGCACTGTGTAGTGGGATATCTATTGCCAGGGTGTAAATTTCTTGAGCCTGATTCTGCCACCTTTGATTTCAGTGGGGCTATTTGTGGAGTAAAGTACATTTCAATGTGAGCAAGGGTGTCAGAATCTGGCCCAAAGGGCATATAAGATTATTTCTGTCTTATAGAATGGTGGTTATATGGTAATTACAGGAAGCCATAGTTGTGTAGGTTCCGGTTATTCTCTTCCAAGAAGTCCTGCTTAATGAATTACTACATATGGAAAAACTGTTGACATGGTTTTGACTCTGTAATTTAAAAGATCACTGCATATATAATAATCATACAATTTGAAGTAGACTCTCCCCTACCACACCATATAGCTCACGGTTTAATCTAACACCATAGATGGGGCAAATCATACGCCTCTGGCTCATGGGAGAAGGCTTTGAAATCAGAAAGGGGCAAATTCTACACAGACGAAGGATCCATGGGGAAATCGAGCTCCAGTCCTGGGGCCTCTCCTCATTATACTACTTCTTGATCCCTTCGGTGATCTGGCAACATTGTGATCATTTAGGAGCCATGCCACCAATGGCTCCCTTCTGGTGTCTGTGCTGTAACCCCATCTAAAATAGTGAGTATGGAAGGCATGGTTCAGTGCTTAATGCTGTGAGGAGTATTATCTTCCACAAGCTTTTCTGGTAATATTTATGCTCGGTTTGGAGGGGAGTAAGATTCACAGAGTGGCATTTCCTGGCGCAGCCCCCACTTCCAGCCTAACATCCAGCACAAGCTCACCGCCTTCATACAGATAGAGGCTTCATGGGGATAGATCATCCCTTTCCACTGCTTTCAGGGCCTTTCTTACTCTACCTGCTCATCTTTATGTCCTTTCTCCTGGCACAGGGGAGCATTTGGCCAAGTACAAAAGGACCGTATATATTCAGATCTACCAGCTTACAAGTGGGCAGAGCATCCAAAGATCTAGATACGACTCCTTGAAATACCCAACAGGAATAGTAAATACTGTTCATTGTAGGACATTCCTAATATTTTAACATTCCTTTTTGTTTTTGAAACGTGACAGGATTTAGCATCCTTTTCATGTCACTTCTCCATTAATGAAGCGGTGTTATATAAATAACTGGAGAGGTTCCCACCTAAGAGAGGGACCCATCAATCTCCATATTTAAGAGGTCAGGCTCTCAGTGGATGAAAATTCCACTAGGAATTGACTCTGTTGATAGAGCAAGTGCATATAAAATAGTTCATGCCTCAACTCTGGCTGGGCTATCCTGGGATTCAGTCTTTGAAAGTCTTCAGCATACAGTGTTTGCAGTAAATATAGATCCGGGGTGACCAACCTGTGGCTCCGGAGCCACATGTGGCACTTCAGAAGTTAATATGTGGCTTCTTGTATTAGGCACCGACTCCGGGGCTGGAGCTATAGGCGCCAACTTTCCAATGTGCCGGGGGTACTCACTGCTCAACCCCTGAGTCTGCCACAGGCCCTGTCCTCACTCTACCCCTTCCCACCTCTTTCCCTTAGCCTGCCATGCCCTCGTTCCACCCCCCCCCCCCGAGCCTCCTGCACATCACGAAACAACTGATTTGGAGGGAGGGGGAGGCTCTGGGAGCGGAGGGGAGATGCTGATGTAGGGGCTGCTGACATATTACTGTGGCTCTTTTGAAATGTACATTGGTAAATTCTGGCTCCTTCTCAGGCTGGCCACCCCTGATATAGATCAAGTGGCCCAGTAACATGCCTGAAGATTCTTTTGTGCATGACCGTCTCTATTTTGAGGTAAGCACAGCACACCAAAATAGGTTTACATTTTCATTCTTTCCTTCTTCCAGATTAAGCACCTGATTCTGAGAGGTGCTGTTTATTATTAAACGTTTGTATTATCGTAACATCCAGAGTTGTGCACCATTGTGCTAGGTACTGCACAAACTCCTGGTAAAACACAGTCCGTGCCCCAGTGCTTATAATCCAATTTAAGATGATGTAACAAGTTAGTGTAAGAATAGTAAGGAAAAGGGGATGGAGTACGAGGGTAACAGCAATAATATTTTGTTGTTAGATAAGGTAGCTATGTGTAAAACTGGATATTTCCAAAATTTCTCTCTCTCTCTCTCTGACTATATAGATATATCTCTTCTTGCTCTGATGCCCCCTTTGCAGCTATATTGTGTGTACATATGCAGCATATACAGTGTACACACACACACACACACACACAATGTGCTGTATATACAACACAGCAGCAAAAGGGGCATCACAGCAAAGGGATTTGAAGTAGGACATGGGAGTGACTTTACAGATTAGTTCAGGAAAGCCATTCCATGCATAAAGAGTGGAATGAAAGAAGGCAAAAGACAGACAAGTTAAATGAGAGCAGAGGCCCTTTGCTCAGGATTGGGCCCACAATGTGGAAGACTTAAAAATCACATACAACTTTGTCTTAGTCTGGCAAGTTTTTGTGATGAGTGACAGAATTAAGCCAAGAGCTTTTTCTTTTTGGGTCAAATTCACTTCTGTGTGTAGTGAAACAGTAGGTCCATATACTACCAAATCCCACTAAAACTCTTTAAATAGGACTTATGTGGGACTGGAGTGATACATGGCCTTTTGCTAGGTTCTTTTTAAACAGCTAGGACATTTCTCCCTTTCTAAACAGCTGAGAATATAAAGGGGTGTGTTAACTTTGGACTTCACTTATAAAGAGGGTTTGGTCTGAGACAACTGGTTTGTGTACATATGCAGTTTCTCCCAGGGAGGTTCTAGTATTTTGATGTTAATAGAGAAATAAGAAAATGAGGCCTTTTTTCCTGTACTGTGCATAATAAAATGGCCATTTCAGTCATCACCCCCTGTTGTATTAGAGGGATCCAAAGTAAGCTTGCAGGCAGGGATTCCAACAGGTAAGAGTACTTTGATTTTAAGTAAATTTCACAGCCATTTGGCTCTCAGGCCTTGCCAAAGCTACACTGAACTAATAGCTTCCTTGACCATTTTAGTAACAACTGATGCCTTCAAAACTTCCTTTCCTGGCCTTGAAATAGGTCCAAAATAGACCTCCTAATTCCATGGCATTGCTGGTGTTGATACATTTAATTATTTTAGCACTGGAGTCTGTTTCACCTTTATTAAAATTTCACTGTCAAGCGTTTACCAGCTTTGTTCCTATATTTACAATACCTTTGACTGAGATGTCTAAGACTTTTAAACATATGCTTTAAACAGCAGACAGTCAGCTCTGACATTTCTTAGAAATCTTTTCAGAAGGCCATGTGGAATAGTTCTAATCCGGGAAGAGCCCCTGACTCACTGTGTGATCTGACAGAGTGACATATCACTTGACCTCAGTCCCACCAGCTGTAAAACTAGGTAGAAAAGTAGGGCCCTTACAGAAAAGCAGATGATGCATTTGAGCAGAGATTTCTTGGGTAAATAAATTACAAATCCTATTCCTCGTCCTCTCTCTTTTCCCCCTCCCCCCCCCAACAAAAACTGATAGTAAGTTTTAAGCAAGAATTTGAATTGCAATTTTTCCATTTTATTTGGACTGTGCAATGAACTTCTTTTTGCAGAGTAAGGAACTGTTATGCAATGACCCTGTAAAAGTTATTTTAAGGTGCAACAGAACACACAAGGAACAGTTTTTTGCTGATGATCTGACCAAGTTAGCAATTTCAGATTCACTTATTTTTGCCTGAATGAAAGCAGAAGCAAAGGGGAAGTATGGCTAGAGTTCTGTCTAGACAAAAATATCACAGTCCATGAAATCAAATTCTGCTGGTTATTGCCCGAGAGGAAAAGAGGCATAGTTTTAATAGGAGAAGCAATGATATTGAAGTTACAAGACATGTAGCTAGTTCGTAAATTTGAAGAAATATTGTGAAAGACTGAAGTTCTGGGCATTTCGCTGCAGGCGGCGCAATATCTCCTCTACAGCCAGATGACTAAAACACTGTGGTTTGACTTGGCCATTAGTAAATGTTGTGGCTTGGCAAGGTAGAATCAGGTCTGTTATCTTAGTACTACATTTTTATAATTCATCTATGAATCATTGACACTCCCAGTTGTAGAATAAACCCTGGCCAGAGTTATAAATGGATCCACACAGCTATGGAGGCTGACAAGCATAAAGCTCTTTCAGACATGAATAACATACTTCCCCTGCAAAGTGGAAATGGATGTCACAACTTGGTAAGACTAGTTTTATTTAACTCTTTTTGAAATTCTTTTTTTTTAATTCAAACAGAAGCAGCACAGTTTTTCCAACCCGTTCTTAATCTGTGAGATGAGTTTCTGGAGAAGTACAATAGCATTGTAAGGACCTTTTCTGTGAGAGGGTCAATGGTCTGTTCAACAGTAAAAGAAATTATATGCAGTTCAGCCAGACCTGTTTCTAAGTAAGGTGATCTATTAAAAGTACTGTAGTTGGAACAGCAGCCTTCTCCTCTGCCAAATCTTTTGACATTGACATTACCAAGTGTTTAGATTCCAGCTATCATGTGTCTAAGAATAACTTTGAACAAGAGTCCTTCTCACCAGCCGTCCAGGGCACTCAGCTGTTAACTTTTATTTTCCATCTTTTATTTAACTGAAAACTCTTCATCTTAACTAAGACACAGACTTTAAAAATAATGGGCCAGATCTTGCAGTGCAAAACAGCTGGAAAGCTGCCCTGGAAGGGCAGCTGGATATTCCCCTTGCACAGGAGATTTTTTAGGTGGAGTAAGCTGGCATCACTGGCTCTATGCCAACTACCCCTCCCCCAAACCTCTCTCCCCCAGAGTAGGGAGATAACTGGGAGTTGAAGGGGTCGTGACCAGATGGAGTGGGGCTCCAATGAGTCTGGGCTGGTGGAATGACCCTGTTTCAGCTGGCAAAAATTAGATCAGCCCTAAGCCTGCTATAACTTGTGCCAGAGGCTGGTTTTGGCCCTGGCTGCCCTGAGGATTGGAGGGGACAAATAGCAGCTCCTAACCCCTTTCCTCCGGTGTGCGTAGTGTGGCTCAGGCATATCTGAGAACCTGGTCCCATGTGCCTATTGCCATGTACTAAGGACTAATGTGAGAACAGGTTAAAAATGAAGATCAGGACATAAAAACAGTGACTTCCCTCTTCCATCCTATAATAAAACTTACCTTACACAATAACCTCTACTCATGGAGTCTGACACAAGTGTTCCGCTGTCCAAACTGCCCTGCACTGCTAGCTTTCCTGAGCCATTGGGTGCCAGTGTCTGAGTATGCTAGGAATGGTTGGTGAAATGTGTCAGGCAAGTCTGATATAGAAATAGAAACACAACAGAACCTCCTGTTCTCCAGTGTATCTTCCCCAAACACCTTTCCTCTGCCCTTCTATTATCTGAAACTAGAAATAAACCTGAGCCACTAAGTTCCGGTCTGGAGCCAAACCACCCCAATGTTCTGGCTTTAGTCCAGCCCATTATCAAAATAGGATTTGGGATTTGAGTTTACCCAAAGTTTTGGAGTGTTAATAATTTACCCATGGTTCATGTGTGGGCCTTTCTCTACTAATAATCCTACAAATCATAACCTACTTCCCCGCATTCTCAGCTACCTCAACATAAACCAACCCAACCAGAGGCTAAAGCAAATATGGATAATCCAGGTAAAGAAAAATCGCCTCCTGTTAACCAGTGTCAGCAAATAAAGGGTGCTTATGAATTGGTGCAAAAAAATTAGTAGGCCATCGTTAGGATCATAGTGTTTTCTTGCTTCCTGGCAACTTCCCAAAAATAAAGGTAAG